ATTCAAATTATTGTTTTCTTTCTTTACAATTTCATTTAAAAAAAAAAACGTAACTAATTTGTAAAATAAGGGCCGCGTTAATTACCTTGGCCTAGAGCACAAAATAACCTGGCGCCGGCACTGGCGATTGCTGTACGTAAGTAGTAGTGGGATGATCTTGACGTGATTTTCTGAGTTCAAGTGGGAATGTTCTGTTATTAACCATGTGCTATTATATGAGAATCTTATATTTGACGAACGGTACTTTAAGGAAAAGGAATTGCCTCTTTGCTTGAGGTCTATCGCACGTGGTGCCCAAGTGTTTGGGGGGGTCCAATTCTAGGCGCGAGGCGAGAAGTCGGGTAAGTTGTAAAACAATTAACCGGGGCGTGAAGAATTTTCAGACGCTTCGGTCTTTAGAAATCACATTGTAAGATAGAAAAAACAGGGATATTTCGAATGTTTACGCCTATTGTGATTTGTTCGCAGACGAGCGCACGTGTTCTTTACTTTGGTCCTTTGTGATCGGAAAGAATGTAACCAAATGACAGTCATATTACCCTGTTCCCCGACTTTCGGCATAAGTATGTGCCCCACTCATAAAAACAGGGGTATGTCTTGGGTTACAGACGATAAACATGGTGTTGATGAACATGTTAAAATGAAATCTTACATTTCCAAAAGTTCCTCTGAAGTCCTGATGCTACGGGTCCAAAAGAAAGTAGTCGCCGATCGGCCAACGCAGCACAGTGGTCGATTATTTTCAAAAGTTGGACAAAAATCAGTATTACTTGAAAACTTACTTTGTTGGCAAATAATAGAATTAAATATACTTCTTAATCTTCGTAGATAGGTGTACCACTCCTGTCGAACAGTGTTGGGCAGAATGTAATCTAATTACAAAATCCAAATCACAATTATATTGTAGTTAACTATATTAAATTTACAATAAAAATTACAATGTAATTATAATTTTAATTGTCCCGCAGTAACATTGCAATTACATGGTAATTGCAATTTAGATTTTATAATTAGATTACATTATGCCCAACTCTGCTGTCGAATAATGAATGACTTAAAGTCGTCATTGAGCATGACAGGTTTTTTTTAATGAAAATTCCCACGAGGCCTATTATTACGGGGTTCGACGTAGTACAAAGCATATAAAACAATAAGTTTTCCAAATTTTATCGAAGAGATGACACTGTGCAGATGTGTGTGTGTCTAAGAAACCCTGCTGGTGGTAAAATTGTCAAAAACCACTTTGACCACCCCTAAGGTTCGCAGGCACTTGAGCTAATTTATGACTTTCAGGCTATAAAACTGAGCAGGCTGAAAAAAGCCGCGGCTATTTTTAAGTTCTGCAATTGCAGTAATGAGTATTGTATTATATGCAACAAGAAACAATTCATTCTAACACATTCCAAAGAAGTTACGTACCAGTATTCATGTGACGGGGCTACATCACAAATTGCACCTGTTATCTAAATAATTCGTTGATTATTGTCATACTTTAAGGTCAGATTTTCAGTTTTTCAATCAATTTGAAACATATTCATTTCGGTGGAATAGAACAATTATTATTAAAATTTAAATACTTTCCAATTTTTCAATCAATTTGAAACATATTCATTTCGGTGGAATAGAACAATTATTATTAAAATTTAAATACTTTCCAATTCTTCGATATTTTCAGTTATAAATAAGATCAAACAAAACAAAACTTGTCAATTACACGTATTAGACACTAATAAATCAGATGAGTCAACAATTTTCAATTTACAGAATAATTTTTTTTATTTTTGTTCCATTTTTTGGAAGAATCGATCACTGTGCGCCGCGACATCAAGGACCCGTGTGTCATTGGTGGCCGCCGCCGCGCCGCAGAATCAGCTGTATGTGCACATACTGTGAAATAAAAACGATACGGCGCTGCGGCTGATCTCTTTGGGAATTTTAGCGAGACAATCAACTTGTATGTGGTATGTTACATCAGAATACACAAGGGCACACAAGATTACACAAGATTATGTATACCAGATTATACCAAGTTACACAAAGGTATAGAAAGTTACACCAAATTAGAGCCTCGGTTACTGTTTTACACCTCCTTCCCTTCTTGAAGACCGAGGTCCTTCAAAGGCCACATAGTTTAATCCTTTAAGGGGTTATGCCTACCTGCGAGCTCGAACAAAGACATGTACGTTCGGAGTTTATTTTTTAAAAACTTGAAGACTTTTTTAAGCACGCGTCATTGTATTCGAAAGGGTACATTTTAAAGTGCTTATAATAATTTCTTCAATGCAAAATATGAATAAATAGGGGAAATATCAGCGATCTCCCGGCGGTGTTTTTATTTTAGCCGTTTTGCGGTGACCACTGCGTAACTACGAGTTCGTTTACCTAAAATAAAAAATCTGAGATAATTTAGTTAATATATTAAATTATCTAGTGCCCGATCGTTCAGTATCCTGAAAAATTAATTTACAACAAAATGGCGACTGTTCAAAATCGAAGTATCGATTTTTGCTAAAAAAAATCGTTCATTTTTTATCTATAAAATAAAAACTACGCAATGAAATACAAAAAGCCACGATCAGACACTAGATTTTTATGTATAGAATGAATCCATCAAAGCTGAATCGGTTTGGTGCAGTGGTTCCCGAGATATTTTGGTCACCGATTTTGAAAATGTGGTATTCAGAAAAACACGTTTAAAGTTTCAAGTCAGTTTACAACCGAATCAATGCAAATTTTTTATATATAGTTATTCTCAGTATTACGGCTTCATATAGCTGTCTATATTTACTAACACAACCATAAATTGCATTGGAGCACAGTATTCATGACTCACGCACCCCTAAAAAGAGATTCTACCCACTTTATATCTGCTCCGAAACCTCCAAGGCTGTATACTCTAAACGGGCGTAGCTCCGCCAATTTTGATCGGATCAACTTCACACAATATTTCTAAAATGATGTATTGTAAGAAAATATTAAATGCCAAAAATCGATTTTTTCAACATTTATAGGTAAGCGTAATAATTGTAAGTCCTTAAGTGTTTTATTTCATTTTGAAAACGTGCACTTGTGAGCTTAATTATTTTTAAGCTATGGTGAGTATACACGACAAAAGCAGAGTAAATGCATTTGCTGTAAAATTGAAGTAAATTCTAATAAATGTATCCCTCGTACATATACTGCTGCACATGTATTTTTTTTTCTCAAGAGTTTTTTATCTTTGTATGTTTTCTTTTCTTTGTCTTCAAGTATTCTAAGTGTTAAAATTATACATATGTTTCTTATTCTACCTAAATCTTATTTTAAATAGATATTATTAATTATTTTAAACATTGCGTTTTATTCTTCCTGAATGTGGATATCGCCCGGCCTGGGATAAACAATCTAAAAAAAAAATGAAGGAAATTACAGCTTTGGAAATAGAGATCTGATTATTACCAAAAAATATTGTATTTCTTGTGCGGCGGAAAAATAATAATTTTGAAGATATCAAAAAGTTTCAAAGCCGGACTATTAACAGAAGTATACTCTACACGCGAGTCTAAATTCCAAGTCAAACGACCCAGTGGTTCCTGAAAAAAATACGCGCCTGTTTTGAGAGACGTGGTATCGAGAAAAATGCGTTCAAAATTTGTCGTGTTTTATTCTTCTATAGGTTCAACAGTTTAATGAATTTCGCCACAAGGCCTTAGGAACACATTTTTCAAGACCCCCGAACTATAAGAAAATGCAAGAAATAAATCGATTTTTTTGTCTGGTTACACTATGTAGAATACCCCCCTAAGAGTATTACGACCTTTTTAAAAGTAATCTGACGCTAACATGTAGTTACATTAAAAAATGTAATCTCGATGATTTTATCAATTTGTTATTCTACGTTCCATTCTATTGGATTGATCATTGTGGCTTCCAGGAGACTCATATGTTAGACTTCCGGTTCGGCACGTGTTATCCGTATAATTTCGAATGATTTTAAGTTATAAAGCTAGTTAGAATAAACATATCTAACAAATACTACATGCCTCGATTCATGTTCAAATAACATTCGCTTCAGTTTGGAACACCCAGTATGAATACAAAAATGTATACGTATAGGCAAATACAATTGCCTAACCAACTATAATTATAACTTATATGTGGCTTATATTTGGATTTGTACATATACATTGGTACATATATATTGGCAAAGCGAAAATATGTATGTAACCGAGTCTTAACTGTATATGTATAACTGACTTGTGCATATACATGGGCGTAGCCAAGTTATCAATCAGGGGGAGGCAATGTAATTTTTTTCCTCCGGGAAGGGGGGGGGGGACAAAGTCTAATTTTTTTCTTCTAAAGTAATGCAAAACCCACTTTTTTCCGTCCAGGGCGGGGGGGGGGCAAGTGTGTCCCTCTCCTCCTGCCCCCCACTGGCTACGCCCATGTACATATACTGTACATACATATACGGGGTAGGGCATCATGAATCTGCAATACTCTAATACATCATATGATGCACATAATTTACAATAATTATCTATTACCTTTGGAACCTTAAAAAGTCGTACTTTTTATTGCATACAAGAATGAGAATGTAGTTATCAATCTAACGTATAGTAGACAAATTTAAAAATACTGATAGATCTTCGAAGATACGGCCATGATGGACGCCGTTTTATTTTGAAATAATCAGAAGTGTCAGAAACATCAAATGTCCCGCACTGTATTTACTAATTATTAAACTGCGTATTTTATGAAGATATAAAAAGAATAAGTACAAATAACATTATTGAGCAAACTTTTCAACGAAATTCAATTCTATCCTGTCTGTGGTAGAATCAGTCGCATAAGAATGGAATTTGAATCCCAGTTTGTAAATTAATCGAGAAAGATATGTACTAGCATGCCTAACTATCCGTAGTGTACTAATTACCAAATGAAAATCATTTAAAAGGGTCTTACTTTCCTTTAACTTTTTGTTTTGTGCATTTTTTAATACTGATGTCATGGAGTAGTTACCAAAAGGGTCGCACGTGTCCCGGAATTGCAAGGATTTATTAATGTCCTTATTGAAACACGATCCGGACGAGAGGATACCGTTCGATGATTTCTTCGCCCATGATTTTCTCGATTTGGCGCACGCGCCGACGAAGGAAAATTACGACAAAGCGGTCGAGTTGGTCCAGCAGGCGGTGAAAATGGACGCGGAAAGGAATCCGAAGGAAGCGTTTCATCTGTATTGCGAGGCACTTAGATACTTCATTCCAATTTTAACAAGTAAGGGGTCGTTCGATTCCGGTATGAATAAAATAAAATTCGTCATAAACAGATCGATACGGTGGACCAATGGTCTAAATATACCACGTTTACTTTATTAGGCGAGACCGATCTAAAGCGAAAAGAGATTTTAAGGTCACACGTAAATAATTACATTAGGAGGGCTGAAATACTAAAAGCCTCGTGTACGGACGATGGTAACGAGAAGGATAAGTGTTCGCGGTTAGAGGATAAAGGGAATCCTTCGGCGATCCAGAGAACGACATCACTGAATGAACGATCGTCGTTTGTGTATCACGAATTGCGTTTGTATCAAACCTTAAGTGATTCTTCTAATGTAACTTATGATATAATAATAATAATAAAAATTCATAAAATAATATTTCGTTAGTTTTGTGATAGTACCAAACGTATTGAATAATCTTCAATTAAAACTTTAAATGAATTACATCGCGACACAAAAACCTGATAAAATAATTATCAGATTTTGTATAGGGTGGTTTACTATAAACAGACCGTCTTAGTATCTTTTAGTGAAATGATGCTATAAAAAAACATCTAAGGGGGAAATAATTAATTACGAAGAGCGAACGGGACACAATGAGAAATTATTTTTACGACCATTACTTTCCAGTTATTAATTTCAATAGTATTTTGTTGAGATTTGCATATTCTATGATAGTAAATTCTCAGAAAACAGGGAGCATTAATCTTAAAACACTTGTAAAACATGTATTTTTGTAATACACAACGTACACGAAATTAATATTCTGACAGTAAAATAATATAAGTGGAGGTTAATGGGGAAAAAAGGGATGACATGAAACAGCTGTACTAAGAAAATCAATTTTGAATAGTTCAATGCACCACTGTTTTTAACCAGTATTACATTATCTATAACGTCATCTTTTGTGAACATTGTTACTTTACAACCCTTTATGATTCCACAGTTCTATAGTCCTAGTTGAAACGAATAAATATGCGTTATAGACCGTAAAATCACTAAAAACAGACATTCCTTGTCTTTTCACCTTACTCTTCAAATTTATCTGTGATCATTATAATCGTTTCATTCGCAACTATCATTACAAGATAAAAGTAATACAATTTGTCCAATTAAAAGGTATCATTAATTAAGTATGTATTGTTATCTATTAAAAGTATAAACAAAAAAAAATGATTATAGAGAAGAATTTTCTGCTGTGCCATGTTTAGCCCTTGTTACTGATTATTATTCTTCGCTGGCACACCTTTCTGGAGGCATCAGCTTGAAAGAAGATGTTTAGATGGTCTGTTTCTAGATGAACCATCCTGTATAATTCCATTTAGGAGCAAGGAAGTGTTTAATTCGTCCTATTTCTCGATCATTTATTACCCCCGTTACGAGGACGGCAAAACGCTTCGTATGGAATTTCAATAAGAGTAAAATTCAGCAAAGTATTAAATCCGCTGGAATGGAACGGAGTCTTTGCTCGGGCTTAGTTGGTAACAAAAACGAAATCCTTTCGCGGCGGACCATGAACACCGATGCCTAGACCACAATCCTAATTGATGGTGGCGGCCGTATCATCGTACCATTAATAAATAGTGCTCGTTAGAAAGAAATATTATTTTATGATCATACCTTCCGATTACAATGTATATTACATTAATATTGGGATTCGAGTGATAAGTGAATGTAAAATGATGTATTCTATCGCTGTCGCGTGTGTTTACCGATAGGGACGCTTAGCAAGACTACAACGAGCATGGCGGACGCGCTGGAAATCGGAGAAGTTGCTGAGCAATATCTCACGGAAGGGAATTACGCGCTTGCATTGGAAAAGTTTCAATCCTGTCTAGGACTATTGGTGCCATTGTTGGGAAAGGAACCAGCAGGTCGAAGGAGGGATCTACTGTACAGACAGGTAATTAAGTGCTATCATATAAATACCGAGAATCCTCGATTAATCCTGTCACGGTTTCGGGTCTATTTCGACCTAATCACGTATTCGTGTCTTTAACGCTATCACGGCTTTATACACTTTTTCTACGTGCTTATAATTTCGACTGTTCAGAAATATTCTTAGGTTTGCGAAATGTCTAAGGAATTTGTGTTACTGATCCGCGTGTTTTCTCCTTCCTCGTCATTATTTCGAATGTACACTGAACTAAGGACTGTAGCAGGGTTAAACTTAAACGCACAGACATTTAAATCGTAACTTCAAAATTTGGAGACTGATATATATGCAGGGTGGCCCACATAACTCTTAACAGCTCAATATCTCGAAAACTATACCATCGATTTTAACGTTCTTGGTCTTAAATTGCATGAATCTGAAGGGCCTTTCTAACTACATAAACGTGAAGTGCCCCTCTTTTCCTTTGAAGGGGGCGGCGGGGTACCTTTATAATTTTAAATGGAACCCCCTATATATGTTGTATCTTGTTATTTTGAAGTCGAAATATCGATATTAAAACAACCTATTTTTTTAATTTTTGTTAAATTTATTGTTAACTCTTTGATGCCCAAACATCTCTTTCGGGGAAAAAATTTATTTCTCGCGATTATTTAACTGAAAAATGGTCCCAATACGTGCACCTCGTCTGTAGTTGCACGACAAAACCCCTGGAAATATGATGTTCTAAATGCGACGTATACATCACACTGGGTGTTCAAGTGTTAATTTCAATTCGACCCTTTAAGTCGCCTGTCGAATCTTTAACCCTTTAACTGCAAAGTCGTTAAATAAGAATTCTCAATAATGCATGAAGCTTAAATTTTTTATCTCTCATTCTGCGTGTGAGTTAGTTATATCGGGAGTAAGTGTGATAAAGTCATCGTACTTCATACGTTTGCCGCATACATAATTAGCCATTGACGTAAAATAAATAAATTCTCTTATCTTTCGTCGCATCTTTACGACACCTTTATCAACAGATTAGTGAGATTTGATGGATAAATATGATTCCAGACACAACATATCGAAATTGGTATTGGGTATATTTACAATAGTCTGAAAAACGTCATGTTTGAGTTTATATTTATCAGGAGAATCCCAAAAATTAATTGGCAACATTTTCATACAAGTACGATGAAAGGTAGGAAAGTTTAAATTTTGATTACCATAGCCAATTCTGAGACTTACCTACATTCCATCGTACGAAACTCTGAAGTACAAACAATGATCAATTCACCTGGCTTTCAGAGACGATCTCTTCAGTTAAGAGATTAAATAAACCAGGAATTTTACTTTTTTACACAGGTGCAAAATACATCCGTCAGATGGAACGAATCGAGAAATAAACAGAAAACCGTTTATTTTAATAGCTTATTGTTTGACTACCGCGTGTATAATATAATAGCGTATTTTTAATTGTGCTCGGCTGACGCGAAATTAATCGAATATTTCTCCTTTAAATAAATGAAACATCGAGCCAAAAAGAAGAAAAGTTTGTTTCTGTTCAATTAACGATGTATTTTAAAAATTGCTACGCTATTAACACTTTAATGACTATGGTAATTTGTTCATCGCAGCCCGTAAATATTCGTAAAATACTACGAAAGTAGTAAACCTTTATAAAATCAGCCATAACGATTTTATTATGCTCCTTAACAGTTCGTTCAACCTATTACTGGTAGATTTATTAGGGTATTCTATAAATTCATATTGATTTTCAAAGCGATACGTCAGTACTTAATAAACTCCTGTGAATTCTGATACGGGACATCGCCCATTTAACACGCTCTAATTCATTTTTTTAAATTTTACATAGAGGTGGAGAATCCAAAAATAGTTAATACATATTTTGATATACCTCAAATTAATGTCTTGAAGATGAAAAAAACCTGTCCGAATCAAAGATGAAATAACTATCCTATTAAATATATTTAAAATTAAGAGAGATGAAAAAATATTAAATACAAAAGTTTTTTACCTTTTTCAAGAATTATATACGAAAGGAATTATATAATATCAACGAAATTTCAGAAAACTCATAGATGGCGCTTGTACGTACACATAACCTAAAAAGGCCCCTTTGTACATACATTTCTGTAAAAATTTGTCTGAAAATATTAATTATGCGCTACTGTATTACTTAATATGGTCAAAAAGTATGCTTTCTCATAAAAAATATAACACGTAATTGGAAAAAAGACTAGGTAGTCTCAACAGATATGGTATGTACACAAAGGCCTGATATTGAATATTTGCGGTGATATATGTATAAAAACAAACATGACCTCAATTCTTAGTGATTTTTCTGTCTCCATAAATTTTTAAAACATTTAACCAATTAGTTTTTTTCACCGTCTATTTTGAGGGGAAGAGGGTGAAGTTTCTTGTAAGAAATGTAATTAATTTTTGGATTAAATGTTTTCTGTCGCGTGTAGTTCAGCGATATTGCAATTAGAAATTATTTCCTATTCAGAAATTCTGAAGTTCCTCTGCCATCAATTTTATTGATTTACCTCACTAATGACCAAAAATTTTTATTAATATATTACGAGGCGATGTATGCACAATATTTTCAATGATACTACAAACAAGAGTAATGATTGTTGTACGAACTTCTGAATGGTGTAATAAACATTCATAATCTCATTTTGATTACTTTAGTTGTATATTGTATAATTTAGATGTCTAGTGTATAATACTGTTGCACAGGTTCAGCTTTGGATGAAAGAAGCCGAAAGCACCAAAGGTCTTTTAGCGACAAAAGACATTGAAGAGTCCGTGCAGCGTGGATCTGATTCGTTCGAGCAGTGCTCGATACAGTAGTTGTGCATTTACTATACAGATTATTTTCACTGCTTACATCATGTTGATGTGTGTACAGAAAATGTTCGCATTTATTTAAAGGGAAATAAACGATTTTGTATAAAAGTTTCACATATAATTGACGATGTTTTATTGAATACCGGAAAAGTTTATATCGTTTTATAATATGAGAATCAAACAATCATAACATTCTTCAGATACTATATTACAACTTTTTTGTTGACATTCTACAAGTTCATAAATTTAAAAAATGTATTAATTACAATCCAAACTATAATATTTATAATATATCTTGCTGTTTCGTAAATGAACCGGTTGTGAACAATCTACGTTATGTATCCTTTATCTTTTGACGAGTTATGAAAACGCCATTTTCAACTGTGTATTAACAATAAAATAGCGAAACAAGCAAATGATGGAAACAGTATACACAAATTACGTGCACAGGTAAAATAAGTTGCCATTATTACATTCCTTCAATTAAATACTTGTAAATGTTCGTTTCGAATTCAACGTTGATGATAAAGCGAGATGAACATTTTCCGGTGCCTATGTAATATATATAAATGTACATAATATGTATACTATTACTTCCTGTTGCGCTATCTACTGCACTGCATTCGCACTCATAAAATATAACTATGTATAGATATAAAATTAAATATGTAAACACGCTACTATTTTCCCGAAATACGTATTAAGGACATCATGATAAATAACATAGTTGATCGCTTAATACGCGTATACATTACAATTTCTGCTGGTTTACATAAATATTAAGATATACATAAGATCAGAATGGACGACGCTCGTGTCTCCAGTATTAGAGACGATATATTAAAAGTACCTTCTCATTGTGACCTAAACACAATATATATATTGTGTTATATATACACGGACATCTGTTTACCTTTCTTACGTACTATATTAATCACCAATCATACACGATCGATTTCGGTACAGTTTTTTATATTAATTGTATACAATTCGCGTGACCATCCTCCAGTTAGCGGACTAATAATCTGTCAATAGCCACGGACTATTTGTACATATTATTCTTATTATGGAACACAAGTCTGTGTCGCGTTAGGAATAGTTCACCGCGACCTTGACGTCTCGAAGAAAAATACGATTACAAAACCGATTTATAAATATAAAAAAATTAAGCAACGTCGAAAAGAAAATCGCGGGAAACGATTGCGGCGGAATTAATGGATGCGAAAGGGTTCAATTTCAGGTGAGAATTGGGACTTGGTACGGAAGACGAGGGCGCGCGCGTCGTGGCGCGTCGCCCTTACGACTTCCGGCAAAGCCACGTGACCTAGCTAACGGTCGCTGTTGCCCCGAAGCGTCATGGAAAATTCCCATTCCCGAGCAACAACCCTCCTCCCCCCTTCTCTATATACATACCCCTGCTCCCCCCTACTCCGTCCGAGTCCCCACTATGGCGTTGTCAGGTACTTATGTACATCCCCCACTCCTTTGCAAAATTCTCCTTCCCCCACCACCGAGACACTGGTACCGGATGTGCGGCAACGTCGCAACCGTTAAGTACATAAGGACGACTGACGAAGAGGGGGACAGAGGGAGAGGGGGGATACGAGAAAGAACTGGCAACGTGTACCACATTCAAATCTGGACGGAACCCGGTCGGCCTCTCGACTCACCTCCGCACAAAACAGCAGAAAACGCGGGCTGCGATAGAATCGCATGTAGATTTGGAACGTGCCGGCGAGAAACGTTTCCGCGCGATCCATCCAAAGGAATCCTTCACAGTGCGTACAACACGGCTGGTGTCGTCTCTCTGTAGTCAAGTACATCCGGCAACCGTATAGAATTCTCGGAGTGCGAAGAGCGAAGTTACGCGGCGTCCCTCGTGTAACGACCCTTTCGCTTCCCCCCCCCCCCC